AATGATAAGTTGTGAACAATTCTAAAATGGCAAGTAAGATGAAATTTGGTAAGTTGAATATTTAAAAATAAATCAATCTACAGATTTTCATTTAAAAAATTTATTGAAGTAATGTTGATTTGTAACATTGTATATTTTAACATTATAGATTCATATCCCTATAAATGTATGATCACACACTGCACCCACCAAAGCATCCACAATCTTCCACCATAGTCCATTGAATCACCTCTCCACTTTTCCCACCCCTCCAATCCCCTTCTGGTAGTCACAGTTCTGCAGTCAGATTTCAAGGGTTTTATTTTGTTTTGTTTTTGTCTCTTCCTTTGCTTTGCTATATATATTATAATATATATATAAATATTATAATTATATATATATATATATATATTTCCACATATGAGTGAAAACCATCCAGTATTTATATTTCTCCTTCTGACTTATTTTGCTTCACATAGTCCCCTTTAGTTGCATGCATGTTGACACAAATGGCAAGACTTTATCTTTTTCATAGCTGAGTAGTATTCCATTGTGTATATATACCACTATATATACCACATGTTCTTAATCCTTTCATCTATAATTTAACTCAGGTTGTTTACATAACTGGGCTATTGTAAATAGTGCTGCAATGAAGATATGAGTGTATATTGTATGCCTTTTAGGACAAGGCCTTAAAAAAATAGTTAACACAGTCTCAAAAACCCTCTGAAGTTCAGTAAATAAAAATTTAAAAACCCATTTGAAAAACTTGACAATGGAGCAAGTACATATATCAGAACACACAATTTATATATCTAGTTATATATTAGCATTTCTCTTATATTTGTAATTTAAAATTTATTGGCAGAAACCAAATATACACACACACTGACACAACTGAGACTGAGGTAATGATTTTTGAGGCCTGGCCCTAAAGGTACCTAAACTATTTACATGAACAGAATGTGGTGATACTGTAACATTTTTATCAGAATGGAAACAGAATTGTGTAAAAGTTTAATACCTGAAAATAGTTTGTTTCTTGCTCGCTCTGGGAATGATGATTTTCTTTTGTTTTCTTCAAAATATTTTTTTATTTGCCATTCATTTGCAAAAAGTATATAAATTTGGGAGTACAACTTCACACCTCAGCATATACACGTTTTACTTGCTGCTCACCAAAATTCCAGTGCCAACACACCATCACCTTATGCCCTCTATATCCTCATTATACTGCCACCCCCTTGCTGGTATCACCATAGTTATCAGAGTTTACAGGTTATGTTTGCTGTGTTTTGCCAGTTTATTTTTGTCTGGTTGTTTACAGTGGGAATGCTGATTTTCTATAAACATGTAATTATTTTTTGAGTCTATATTGTCCATGGAGTTGAATATATATTATGTATTCTGTTGTATTTAGTAGAATGAAATGTTTACAGGTTCTTTTTTTTTTAATATTTATTTATTATTTATACAAGCACTGGGTACAGTCAGAAGCGCGGGAGGGTGAGAGAATTCACCAGAGCCAGAGCGGGGAGCAGAGCAGGCAGAAGGACCGAAGTACACTGCTGAGGGGAGCAGTGGGCGGCAGGAGAGGTCTGCGCGCCATATGGGACCCTCCTCCGGTGGCCGGGGAGCAGCCGGGGATTGAACCTGTGCTGCAGAAGCTGCGGGCAGCTTCGCAACCCAGCGCTCAACCGCTGCGCCACCGGGGAGGCCCTGTTTACAGGTTCTTGAGATAATATAAGAGGTGGTTTTTTTTTTTAAAGATTTATTTATTTATTTGTTTGTTTGTTTGTTTGTTTATTTGTTTATTTATACAAGCACTGGATACAGTTAGAAGTGCAGGAGGGGGAGAGAATTCGCCAGAGCCAGAGCCGGGAACAGAACAGGCAGACTGACGAAACACACTGCTGAGGGGAGCAGCGGGCGGCAGGAGAGGTCTGCGCACCATGTGGGACCCTCGCCAGCGGCCAGGGATTGAACCAGCGCTGCAGAGGCTGCGGGCAGCTTCGCAACCCATCGCTCAACAGCTGAGCCACTAGAAGAGGCCCAATGTAAGAGGTGTTTTTTAAAGAGCATTTTAAACCTTTAAATCCTTTCTTTACAGATTACCTAGACCATGTAGAAAGCTAGTAACTGCCACAAGCAAAAGTCAGTTGGTGGCACCTGTCAATTTTGCAGAGATTCCTGCTTTGCAGGGTGTCTGAATGTACTGCTTAAGGTCTCTGCTCACATTTGCTGGAATCAGTCATGGCAGGTTTTATTTACTAGTCGCTTTTCCCCATATTTCTTTGTAAAATCTTCAGTGTTTTTACATCATGTTTTATAATCCCTAGGGTATTCTCCAGCTAGACCAGCCCGAAGAGGGTGCCCAAGATGGGGGCCATCACCAGTACTGGATTACTTGGTCACCTTTGGTTGCTAGCTTCCAGTTTTAAGTACTAATTACTGGCAGAAAAGGCCTCATTGAAGAGGTTTGAATGGGTACTCTGCTGGAAAGTTGATTTAGATTCTGAAGACATCCTTGTCATATGCAAGGTTGTCAGGAACAATAAGCCCTTGCGAAGTCAATAAATTAGCTTCGTGGACCTGGATGTTATGGAAGTTTTTCACTCCACATTTGCAGATTTCTTTAAGCTCTTTAAGCAGCCTCCTGCTTGCTGCCATCTTGGAGCTGGCATTGCTGCATTCCCCTAAAGAGTATTTAAAAAAAAAACAACCTTCTGAAGATGTATATTGAAATTTTCCCAGAGGATTTTATAATCAGTTTAATGTAAGGTTTATCAGATTGCAAAACTGTACAGTTATTAAACCAATTTTATGTTAAACACTATTTTATAATGTAGTGAATTATAATAAGTGACTTATTTTTATACCTAATCTTTATATAATCTAATGTTGAGGTATCTTTTTTTTGAAGTTGCCTCAGGTAACCTCTTTGTTTATAAAGGTTGATAATAACAGGAGCTTTGACACTAGAGTGTCTGGGTTCAAATCCTTTTTTCCCCTCATGTCTAACCACTTTGTTTTTTTAAAAAAATGATGTACTATTGTTTCATATCCTTGTTAATTTTTTGACAGTATTGGATTTCTCCCCTCACGTGTGATCACCATAGCTCTCCCACCACCAAAGCACCCAGAGTCTTCCACCATAGTCCAAAGTGTTTCCCCCCTTCCTTCTCTTCACCCTTCCCCATCCCCCTAATACCTTAGATCTATGATCAGCTTTCAAGAGTTGGCTTTAATGTTTCTTTGTCTGACCCTTTGTATGATTTCTCTATATTCTATATAAATGACACCATTCAGTATTTATCTTTCTCCTTCTGGTTTATTTTGCTTAGCATAATCCCTTCCAGCTCCATCTATTTTGCCACAAATTACATGAATTTTTTTGATTGTTGAGTAGTATTCCATCATATATGTAAGCCACATTTTCTTGATCCACTCATCTGTTGTGGGGCGTTTAAGTTGCTTCCATATCTTGTTTATTGTAAATGTGCTGCAATAAACATAGGAGTGCAAGTGTCCTTTCAAATTCGTGTTTTTGTGTCCTCTGGGTAAATTCGTAGGAGTGAAATTGTTGGGTTATATGGCAGATCCATTTTTAGTAATTTGAGGAATCGCCACACAGCTTTCCATATGGACTGAACCAACTCTGCATTCCCATCAACCGTGTAAGAAGTTTCCTTTTTCTCCACACACCTAGATGTCTTCTTTGGAGAATTGCCTATGTAGCTCTTCTGTCCATTGTTTGGGTTGTTTTGTTTTTGTTGAGTTGTATGAACTCTTTGTATATCTTCAATGTCAGATCCTTGTCTGATATATGGTGTGCAAATATTCGCCCATTCTGTAGGGTGTCTTTCATTTTGGTTACAGGCTCTTTTGCTGTGCAGAAGCTTTTTTAGCTTAATGTAAACTTAATTGCTTATATTCTCTTGTTTTCCTTGCTGGTGGGAATGAATCTGCAAAGATATCTCTGAAGCTTATGTCATGGAGTGTTTGCCTATGTTTTGTTCTCTGTATTTTATGGTTTCAAGTCTTACATCCAGGTCTTTTATCCATTTTGAGCTGACTTTTGTGTCTGGTATGAGATATTGTCTAGTTTCATTCTTTTACATGTGGCAGTCCAATTTTCCCAACACCTCTTTGAAGAGGTTTTCCTTGTTCCAGTGTATAAATTACTTGTCACAAATTAGCTGCCCATATATATGTAGTTTTATTCTGGATTCCCAATTCTAATCCATTGGCCTGTGTGTGTTTTAATTTTTATGGTTTTATAGTATAGTTTGAAGTATGGAAGTCTAATACTATCATTTCCCCCCTTTTTTCATGACAGCTTTAGCTATTTGGGATCTTTTGTGGTTCCGTATGAATTTCAGTAGTATTTCTTCCATTACTTTGAAGAATGCCATTGAAATTTTGGTTGGGATTGCATTAAACCTGTAAATTGCTTTGGGTAGGATGGCCATTTTGACAATGTTGATACTTCTGGAATGTGAGCCAGGAGATAACTTTCTATTTCTTTTTGTCTTCTATTTCTTTTTAACAATGCTTTATTGTTTCCATTGTACAGGACATTCACCTCCTTTTTTAGGTTTATTCTTAGGTACTTAATTTTTTATTGTGATTGTAAATGGATGAATTTCTTTTTCTTCCAGCTCACTGTTTGCATATAGCAAGGCAACTGATATTTGTGTGCTGATTTTTAGCCTGAATTTACTGAACTGGTTTGTTTTCATTAGTTTTTCTGTTGAATCTTTAGGGTTCTTTTCTATGTATATTATCATATCATCTGCAAATAATGATAGTTTTACTTCTTTCCCAATTGTATTCCTTTTACATCTTTCCCTT